ATTTCATTAGACACTATAGGGGCTCTTTAGCTGTGTTGCAGCAGGCTGAGGTCTGGGCATGTAAGAACTACAGAGATGTTGGTAAACCATTACTATGGGTCATGTTAACACTGTCTAAACAAGTGTCCTGCTGCTAAACGAGTGCCAGGTGAATTTGGGTACAGGTGGGGGCAAAGAACTTGGAGAAAATGAGAATTGAAGGGAAGACAGTAAGAAACAGAAAGCCCCAAACACTGGATTCGTCCTGGATAGCCAGTTTGCCAAGAGAAGAACTGTAGCTGGAGTCTGTTTCGGGGAGAGGAGATGTCAGTAGTGACAGAGGCCAAAGTAACCACTTGGTTTTTTTGAACTGTTTACTTATTTCTGAACCCCTGAAGATTTACTGTCCCTCAGGATTGCTATCCTTGCATGTAAACACTTTCCCCCACGCATACACTCGCTGCTTTTTTTCACTTTGCTCGTTTTTTTGCTTGCTCTTTTCTAAAGATGAAGCAGAACGTTCTGCTGCTAAGACCCTTACTCAAAACAAACTGCAGCTTTAGGGTCAGGAGAGTTACCTGACCTTTCAGCTAACACACCATTTGCATGTTTAAGGGTTTGGCTATTTTTGTGCCTCAGAGTGGGTGCCTTTTTTATTGTAGTCGTGTCCCGCAGCTCCCCTTAGTTCAGCTGCTCTGGCTGACCCTACGTGAAGTCACTACGCAGTGCAGGAGACCCTGATTTCCTGTCTCTAACTCCCCTTCTGTGCTTCCATTTCACATTCCACTGATGACTCAAAATGGCTGCAGACAGAGAAAACACACGGAGTTATTGCCAGCTGTGGGGTGAGATCCAGGTGGCGAGTTCTCAGGTGTGGATGCATACTGCGCATAGCATTTCCAAGAAATAGGGGGTTTTGTTCAGGACAGGTAATAGATACCTGTCATAGTTTTTACTGGATTACAGCTTCCATTTTAACTGTGCCATGAAAGAAGGAGCTACCTTGAAAATCTTTCGGTGTTGTTGATAAAAAATCCACAGGGCTGGGAGGGAGTCTATGCTATAAGCATCCATCCTTCTGCACCTTTGTTTGGGCTCTGGCTGAGGAACTTGCTGTACTTGCTCTAGTCAGTGGCTGTGCTGCCTGCGGTGTTGCTCTGACATAGCCTGTTCCTCGTGCTAAAGGAGTTTGCTACACAGCAGCAGAGAGGTGAATGTAAGAATGTCCCCAGGTTGTTTTCACACCAGCTGGAGTCTCCTTCCGTCAAACTTTCCTGTGTCAGCAAGATTGAGGCAGAAGAGAGAGAGAGAGGCTCCTGGGAGATTTGGGATGGAGATTCTCATAATTTTGTTCATGTCTGTTCAGCATGATTGAAGACGCAGCCTGTATATCGATCTCTATGCTAAATGAAGTCATTGTGCGTCCCCTGGACTCCTGCCCTGAACTTGGGTTTCCTTCTGCTGTCTGACTTCTGTCTCATCTGTGGTGGTGCCTTGCACTCCTAGTTAAATAGCTTCATGTCAAAGGAAGGTGGGGGCAGGAGGAGTACCTTTCTTGTCTGCCTTGGTAGGATTTCTGGCAACAATTTAAAAGAGAAAAGTGTTTGTCAGTGTAGTTTGAAGGCGGTTCAGTGATACCAGTCTAGATCTGTCCCACTCACAAGGCACGTGTTGTTTTGAAGTACTCGTCAATTCTTGGTATTTTGTGTGTGTCTTCCTCTCAACAGATGCTACAGCTGCCACAGCCCCGGTCCCTACAGCAGAAGTCGGTACTTCTCAGGAGGTCGACCAGGTGTTCGAACCGGCTGATACCTTGCCCTCCCGGAGCGAGGCAGCCGCTGTGCAGCCCGTCATTGGTATCAGTCAGAGAGTGCAGATGAACTCCAAAGAAAAGAAGGACTTGGGGACACTAGGTACAAACCCAGGATCATGTGATGGGTCCTTTCCTGTAATTCTGGCAGGATGGATTTGTTCTGAGGCTCTGAAAGCAATGCTATAGCTGGATCTACTGCCTTTAATTTTGCCTCTTTCCTTTCTGTCTACAGGGTATGTGCTGGGGCTGATCATGATCGTGATAATCATTGCTATCGGAGCTGGCATTGTCCTGGGTTACATCTATAAGAGGTCAGTGGCTATTCTCCTTTGTCCAAAAGCTGGTGTAGGCATGAAGCAACATATATAGAGCAGTAATGTCTGAGCACCTGCAGACCCAAGCAGATCCCAGTGAAAAGGCAGATAGCAGCATGTTTTGATATGGCACATTGTGCAAGAGTTTTGTTTGTTGCACTGGGGAAACAACTATTTAAGAGTTAATCCTATTCTTCTCCATTTCACCCATCAATGTGGTATTCTGTCCCATTTAAAGTTTCAAACTGACCTCTTTATTTTTTGGTTTTGTGTGTGTGTGTGCACGTGTGCCTTGATGTGGCTTTCTCAGATTCATCTAAGGGAGATGAATTTTATGGAAGAGCTAGAGAGAGCAGATCCCAGGTGCCCTCATAGGAAGTTTATTTTGTGGTCAGAAAAAGAACAATCCTAGCAGGCCACCTGTTCCCCTGGTTTCTCAAGCCTAGCTAGCTTTAGAAGAAAAACAATTGGCAAATTCTTTGCCACACTTGTGCATTGTATCCTATGAAGGTGAATATCAAGTAGTAGCACCTTTTTTTGTCAAACAAAGTTTATTTTACCAAAGCTCCTGTATACTTTAAGGTCAGTTTTGATTGATGCGTAGTTACTATTTGTTCAGCCACTTGACTATGTTGGACAGAAACGTGCCTGTGGCTCAGCAGTGTTAGAGGTTAGTGGTAATAGCAAGCAGCTTAGTTGTAAGAGGGCAGGATTAACAAATAGCAGTGAATGTCGCTGCAGCAAGTGAAGGCCCAGGCTCCCCCCTCTGGGAGGGTTTGTTCTGTATTTTGGCTGTTTGACAGCAGTCTGACACAACCAGGCAGAAGGAGCCCTTTCCCAAGCTGGGACACGTCCTTATGTAAGTGTTTATAATAAACGCCGACAGAAAAAAACAGAGGGAGGAGTGTTACATAAGGGGCAAAACACAGAGCGCTGCTTGTCGAGGAATCTGATTTGAGGTGTCACTTCAGAGAATGCTGTCTCGTGTGCTGGCAGGAATGGCAGCTACTGCTGCACGCTTGTAGGCAGCTTTGAAAAGCAGCCAAAATGCTTATGTGCTGACAGGAAACCCCAGCAGCTCTGCCTGATTGGGACCACGAGCCCCAGGAGGAGTGAGTGATGCCTGTCCCACCTCACTCCTGTTGTCGTCGGGAAGAAGCAATAGACCAATGTGGAGCTTTGCCCAAATGCAGCTTCTTCAATCCCCGAGAGCTCCCAGCAGGGCTGCAGTACAGCTTTACTGTCTCTCTCTCTCTCTTGCCTTGCTCTCAAAACTATGAAAAAACCCCTGCCTGCAAGCTGGCAGGTTTGGGTAGGTGTGGTGAGAAACCTTTAATGGGTTTAGTAGCTTTTGGTATACATAGCTTTTCTGAAGACAACATGCTATTAATGCCATCCATTTTTAAAGCAAGGCAGTTCTTCCTCAGTACAAATCACAGAGGTGTCACCTCCCTTAGCAACAGGCTGAAGACTGAGGTAGGTTCGAGGAGCTGGTTGTGGTTTTAAGCTGTTAGCTGCAGCAGCAGAAGGCAGGGCCAGCTCTGAAGTAAGCTTTTAATACTTACAGGAATAGCTTAATTTGCTACACGGGTTGGTTTGCTGCAACAAAAGGCAGAATTTGTCACCACCTCTGGTATTTGTTTGTATGAGCTGAAGCAGGTTATGGAAGCTCTTTTCCACCGCAGTGGGCTCTGCACTATCTCACTGCCCCCCTGGGCCTGCACCAGGCAGTGCGGTGGGACTGTGATGAGGTAAAGGAAACGCTTGTCAGCTCCACAGTTTGAAGGAGAAGCTTGGCTTTACAGTCATCATTGAGCAGTGGCAATGTCGGTGAATAAGGCAGTTTATGAGGGAGGGATAGACTTCACTTGGCTGCTTCCTTTTAAAGATGCTCGGATGGGGTCCTCTGCTTACAGCAGGGAATGTTTCTGTCCCTTTTGTTTCTGGCTGAAACAACTGTTTCTTAAAAGAGCAGAGTCCCTTCTTTTCTACTGTATTGCCTTTACTGAGATTCTGCCACCAAGCAGTGGCACTCTCCCCATCCACAATGTGTCTTGTGGTTTTTTTTAAATCTAGGGGGAAAGATCTGAAGGAAAAGCATGAACAGAAAGTCTACGAGCGTGAAATGCAGCGCATCACGCTGCCACTCTCAGCGTTCACCAATCCTGCCTGCGAGCTTGTAGATGAGAACACAATCGTGGTGCACACCAACCAGACGCCTGTGGAGGACACGCACGATGGTAGTGGCCCGCTCATGGGGCAGGCGGGTACTCCTGGTGCCTGAGCAGCTCAGGCAAGAGGGACGCGGGCTGAGCAAAGCCTCCGGCACGGCGAGTGCGGGGGTTGCGTGTGTTCATTTCTGTTTTGTTTTCTTTTTGATGAAAGCCAGATGGAGGTGATGCAGAGGGACAGAACAATGGGCTATTCATCACGATCTGTTTGAGGGGCACCATTCAGTGCATGACCAGCTGGGGACTGGTGCGGTGGACCCTGCAGCTTCCTCCCACCTATCTCCATGGCATGCCAAGGAGCTGGGCGGGATGATGGGCCGGGCTCACAACTGGCCACAGATCCCATAGCCTGGAGCGTGGTCTTGGTTTCCTCTTTCTTCTGTTCCTTTCCTGTTTAACGGTGTGCACTGTTACTTAAGTTTCAGCCTGGAACCCCAGGAGGAAGCAGTACTGCAGGGACTGAGGGGAGCTTCACGTCAGACTTAGCTAGCTAATTACACTCTGATTATAGTTCCTGCCTTTTTGCTTTAGTGGCTGAGAGCTGGAGACACTGTCCAGAATCCTGCTACTAGATCAGGTTTTTTTCCAAGGAAGAGTTTATTTGAGGATGACTTTGGCCAGGAGCAGTATGTGTAGCCCCAGTGTCAATTTGGAAAAGGCTCTTGAAAAATCCAGGTCTTCCAGGGCTGAGGCCACAGCTCCATGCCCCTGTGGTGCTACATGCACAGTCACAGTTGTAGGTGTCCAGGTGGTCTGTGCCTCCTGCTCATCTACACAGATCAGGAGACCAAAGGCCAGCAGTAGATAATGGTGAAGAAAACAAACTGCCCTTCAGTTATCTACAGCAGGTTGAGCACTGAGGATAAATAACATCCTCTTCTGAATTCCCTTGGCTTTCTACAGAGCCAGCTCTGGACAGAGTGGCCAAGCCAGCTGTGGAGGTCACCCTGACCACGACGCAGCAGCTCTTGCTCTAAGGGCAGGACAGGGCAGCTGCTCTTGCAAGATCCCGAAGTTACAGCATGGCTTCTGGCCCAGCCTCCTTCACACACACTCAGCTTGTGCAGCAAGACTACTTGCTTACAGAGCCTGGCCCTGTTAGAAAGGTTTTGTAACAACTTGTATTAGCATTTCAGGGGGGTTGGAAAGGGATGGTTGCTGCAGTGTCTCCCAAACGGCACCAAGGCAAGGCCAGTTCAGGGAAACATCCATCCCCGCCTCAGGGGATTCAAGCCATTCAAGTAAGTTTTCTAGCCATCCGCTTTATAGCTGTGGGCCTAACAGGGAGCAGCACATGGCAGCAGGGGTTTTAGTGTTAATGTTTGATTCAGAAAAGGGAAACGTTTTATTTTTAAATGCCTTTGAATACCATTTCTTTGTAAGATGTTTTAAATACCTCATTATGAGAAGGTGCAGATTGTGCTACCTTGTATTAAAGCTTAAAAGAAAAATGCTCTGTAGGCCTGTGTGGACTGTGGCTCATCTGTACATTCCTCCTGCCAGAGCAGCATCCTTTTGCTTGTTGCAGACTTCAAATTGAGGAGAAGGGAAGATGCCACTTCAGTTTGCCAGGCTCAAAGGTAAATCCCTACAAGCAGTGCCTCCACTCACCACCACAGACAAGGCGCGTGGAGCTTGTCTCCTTCCTGCCAGGAGCTAGTCTTGGACAGGGACACTGTTCCTGAAAAGCAGCTGCGGGTGTGAGCAGTGCTAAGCAGGCTGGCCCTTGGGAAGACACCTGCAGTTACAGCCCCTTCCTGCACTGACGCAGGTCAGTTCTGCTTTGGTGCAGCTGAGCAGAGGCTCCATCCCTTGGGGCCTTGCTTTCATGGTGGAGACGGGGCACAGCAGGTGACAGGAGGCACTGACAGAGGTAGCATTTTTGTTCAGTTGTTGCCTTAACAAATGCCCCTTGAACTACGTATTTCAGAGTAAGAGGTTTCCAAGAACAGGCTGTATGTTTATCCCTGGATCAGAAAAGGGAAACAGAGAGGCTCCATGTTCTGCTGACTCCAGTCCACCCTTAAAACCCAACCACCAACACAACTTGACAACTTCTTCTATTTCCATCACTCCAGGTAAATAGTACTATAGAGCACTTGCACTGCGTCTCTAGTTCTGTAAATGTGGCACAGCCCTTTGGCTCAAGAACGGGAATTCTAAATGATACCTGATCTGGGCAGTTTTGGTGTTGCCATTTTGTGACAACAGTAGAAACCAAAGAAAGTTACAGCCTCCTGCTTTATGTAACACAGACGATAAAATCTTGTTTTCATAGCATACATTTACTGCTTTTTAATTTAGTTAGAACATGGAGCTGTGCAAATCACAGTTCATAAACCCCACCCACACGTCACCCAGGACTCTCCCCTTCAGGGGTCACCTCACAAACCAGCCTGGGAGGGGGAAAGAAAAGGGCAAATCCTATTAACAATCCGGAATCCACTGGACCCAGTTTAGAGAGGCTCCTCTGCTGACTCACAGCACAGGGAGTCCCCAGTGTTTCCAAAACACCACTACACAGACTAAAAACAGCCCCCCCCCACCCCAGCCACGCACACCTTTTGTCAGGTGATGGCTGGTCCCATGTTACTTTACATAATACTTTATAAACTCATGGGTAGGGGGAGGAAATCAAAGTAACAGCAAAGACTAACACCCATTGCCCACCATTCAATACTGAAGGGAGGGGTGGAGAAAGGAGCACACTAAAAATCCAGTTAAACCGTGTTTGTGAAACTTAAGAGCAGGACTTGAGCCAGCTTTTTGTTCAGTTCTGCTGACCGCATGAGCTACTACAGCAGTAGCTTTCTTCCTTCTCCCACCAAGGGAGGAAGAAGTGCTGGAAAAAAATACACCCCCCACCCACCTCCCAATGACTCCAAGCCCTTTTTTCTCCCCAAAAGCAGGGAATGACCCTGAGGAAAGTTTCTGCTTGGAGAATCAGCTCAGGTGCTGCAGCAGCAGCTGCAAGAAGGACCTTCAAAGGGAGCAGCTTGCACAGCCTGCAGGAAAGGATGAGGTAATGGCAACTGAATTATTAGTTCTCCAGCTGCCACTCCTGGGAGGATAGGACATTCTCCAGCACTTTCTGTTCATGACAAGTCCATCCTTTAAGTAACCTTGGGCACGTCCCCCTTGTCCATGCACAAAGTCTGAGCCACTTCAGACCTTCGGCTCTGGAGAGCACCTTCTGCCACCCTTTCTGTCACCTCACGTCCGCAGGCTGAGAGCTCAAGCAGCTTCAGCACTCCAGGGCTGTCCACAGGCAGTGCCTACTAGTGCAACTCGACACATTCCGGTTCAAATACTCTCACCTTGCTTAAGGTTCCTGGGCAGGCAAACTCACTATGCAGGCTCAGGGTCTGAAGATGCTCAAGTGGCTCATTTGCTGCCTGCCTTGTTCACCATCAGGAGGGGCAAGCAGAGCTCAGTCTTAGTGTTTCTAGGCAGGCTTTTGGAGGTATTCAGACAGAAGAGGAAAAAAGCCCACAAAACCAAACCAAAACAAAAATTCATACGTGCTTCCCCACAGACCAGGTATTTCAGGGGAGCTGCCCAGTTCCTGGGGCTTTTTACTCCCTCCCCTGATGCCCATTGGAGGCCGAAGTCTCAGTGGGTTGTTCTGGAAAACACATGCACAAACATACACACACACACTGTCCTGGTGGGGCCTTTTGCTGGATGTCCAATTTCCCCAGCTTTCTGAGCAGGGCTGTCAGTGGGAGAAGCAGTTCCAGAAGTGCTGGTCCTTACCCAGGAGAGTCTCCTATAGCAATTCCCTCCCTGGCAGACAGGCTAGGGTAGCTTCACAGCTTGCAGCCAAGTTCTAAGGCACCACAGTAAAGAAGCCTGGAAAGGCTAGAGAAACATTTCTCAAGCCAGAAAAATCATGTTGAGCAGCTTTCCTAGGTGCAGTTGGCAGGAAACAGCCCTTTTGGCTTCTGAAACATGCCAGAAATCCACAGTGAATCAGGATGTCCAAGAGGAGGGGTGTTGGTTGGGGAGAGAGAGGCAATGCAGCGAACGCACAGCATGGTGCCCCATTAATGCCCTGGAAGTGGCTGAAGTGCATCTCCCTCCCTTGTCACTCATCTCAACTCCAACGGAAGTGGTACAGGCAGCAGGATGAGCTAAGTTGTGTTTTCAGGTAGCTTGTCACGGTTCAGTCCATACTGCACACTCACGTTGTGGTCCAGCTCCTCCAGCTCAGATGGAAGGGGGATGGCAAGTTCTCCCAGGTAGAGAGAGAGAGCTTCAAAGGAATCTTCCAGCTTGGAAAAAGGGGGCCTAGAAGCAGCAGTGAGGAAATGTGAGTGGGAAAGAAGCAGCAGAACAGCATCTGGAAAGGCTGAGCCAGTTGTCCATCCAGGCCACTGTCCCATGCACAGAGGTGTAAGCAGGGACACGATCCCTCCCCATTCAGCTTCGGAGATTGTGAAGATCCCATCTGTCTGGGCTACTTGTTTTTACAGCCGATGGCCAGGGAGGTCTGCCTCTTTTGGAACCCACTTGGCATCAGCACTGTTGTGAAGCTACAAGTTTCACAAGTGAAATCAAATTAAGTATTCACCTCTCAGAGCTGGTGAGGTGCCTCTCAGGTGCCAAGGTCTGCCCCTACCTTTGTATGTAAGAAACCCTGAACAATCACTCCTCCTTTACCCCCTCTGTAGAAATAGTTTCAGAGACCTCCACCATATACAGCGGTCTCTCTCCCAAGCTGAGAGTTTCTCCTCACGTGGAAGCCTTTGAGCATTCCCACAGAAGGCTGGAATACAGCCCTCTTGCACCCTCTGTGCAGAGCAATCCTTCCACTAAGGGTACACAGACACATCCTCCAGGCTTACAAAGAGGAGCCCTTCAGACCCCAAACCTACCTGCCCTCCGGTTCCAGTCTGCAGCAAA